CAGAGTGATGTGATGAGGACCAATTGTTTGCTGTGTCCACTGGGGAATAGGGCGAGGAATAATGGGGTTTAAATTGCAAGGAGTAAGATTGATGCTAGACATTATGAAATGCTTTCTAACAGAACAGACAGTTAATTACTCAAATAGATTGCCTGGGGAAGCACTGGAGTCTCCATCATTGGAGGTTTTTAAGAACAGGCCAGGTAGGCATCCTTTGGGAGGAATTTAGGTGATATCAGGCTCATTTTGGAGCAGAAGGGTGGACCACACCAGCACCTTACCAAGCAGGTCCCTGTGATCCTGGAATGAAATTTTCAAGAACTCCAAACAACCGTGGCACAGTGTCAGTGCTGCAGGGAGCTGTCACGGGCATCTTTTGATTCAGTGTGGTTGTGGGTTGGATTTGGTTTCTTAAACATGACTTTCCTTGACTCCTTTCTCTTCTAGGTGGCTGAATATGATGATGATGCCAACTGGACCAGTTCCAACAACAACCCCTAGGGCTGCAGGGTGGTGTACAAGTTGTGTGGGAAGCCATGAGGCATGGCAGAGTCAGGAGACAGGGTCATGATTGCTCCTCCTATCTGTATCTATTCATCCAGGTAGCTGAGTGTTAATCCATGGCTGTCCCAGGGGCTTTGGCAGAGAGACAGGATCACAAAGCAGTTGTGTCTCTCCTGTCAATGAACTGTAGTGAAAAAAAGGCTCCATAGACAGAAGAGACCAGCAAGACCACTAACAAGCACTGAAACCCCAAGTGTCAATGTGTTCTGCCATTGCCCATCTGCTTGTGGCTTTGCAAGCAGTTTTCCATGATGAAACAGGAGTCCCATTCACCCCCTAGAGACACCACAAGCTCATTTCTCCAGCCTACCCTTCAAAACCTTGCAAAAGGGAAGGAGAAACCCAGCTAGGTCTCAGTCTCCACTCCAAGTTTCTCCTGAGATGCCCATCCTTTCCTGGGGAACAGCTTGTGCTGGTTTTGGCTGGTGTACAGTCAATTTTGTTCACAGTAGATAGTATGGGGCTATGTTTTGAATTTGTGCTGAAAAGAGTGTTGATAACACAGGGATATTTTAGTTACTGCTGAGCAGTACTGACACAGCATCAAGGCCTTTTCTGCTTCACACACCATCCCAATGGTGAGTAGGCTGGGGGTGCACAAGAATTTGGGAGGGGACACAGCTGGGACAGATGACCTCCACTGACCAAGGGGTTATTCCATACCACATGATGTTATGCTCAGTATATAAAGCTGGGGGAAGAAGAAGGAAGCGGCGGACATTCAGAGGGATGACATTTGTTTTCCCAAGTAACCTTTATACACGATGGAGCCCTGCTTTCCTAGAGGTGGCTGAATGCCTGCCTGCCAACAGGAAGTAGTGAATTAATTCCTTGATTCCTTGGTTTGCTTTGCTTGAGCATGCGACTTTTGCCTTACCTATTAAACTGTCTTTATCTCAACCCACGAGTTTTCTCCCTTTTACGATTCTCTCCCCCATCCCACTAAGGAGGAGTGAGGTAGCACTTTGTGGGGTTTAGTTGCCAGCTGGGGTTAAACCATGACACAGCTCTACATATCCAGACCAGGAGGATCCTGAGCTGGAAACAGCTGGAGGCCAGAAGAGTGCTGGGGACATGCAATACAGGCATGCCCTCTTCTTCCCCAGGATTTCGTTTAACATTTGTACACTGAATATCATAAATACCTGTACTTCCCCACCTGATTTGTGGTACACCAGGGTTAGCCATGTGCCCAGCTGCACATGTTAAACAGTATAAACTGAACAGAACGAGCGTCAGAACCTGACTCTCCCACGTAGTCACCAAAGGCTCTTGACAGAAAAAGCACAGGGAACTCAAAGTGTGTTTGACTGGAAGGTGGCTCTGGGCATGCGCTGCAGTGGAGGAGGCAGAGAGTCTAAAGCATGCAAAAATGATAAAAGGAGAAGAGGGGAAGCTTTGATCAAAGAGAGTGTGAGAGTGGGGGTGCCAGAGATGCCTGCAGAGATGGAAGCAAAGGCAGGAGCATGGAGGACTTTGTACGTGAGAAGATAGATAATTCCTTTGGAGTCAATCGAAGGAGGGCCAAAACAGTCTAGATGCAAATTATCACTCACCTCCTCCAAAGTCCCTGAGCCAATTTTCCCCAACAGCCATGGGGATGTGGGGGCAGAGAAGATCTTCAGCAAAATAATTTGAGGGTTTCTTTCATTTTCCTCACAGTTTCTGAGACTTCCAGGTAACTTCAGATAGTATTTTCCAAGTTTCCTGTACAATCATGAGAATGAGAAATGTCTGGGATTTTTTCTGAGTGACAGAAAGACCCTTGTGCAATCCCTGGATCCCAGCAGCTGAAGATTAAAAAACCCAGCAACCAAGAAGCGTGCTCCCAAATATCAGAAAAACCCCAATACTGCTGAGAGAGACTCTAGACACTTTGTGGTTATGTATGAAAATGCGTGTACAGGCACTGTGGTTATTCATTGTGTCAATACTACTGGGACAAAAAGAGACCACTCAGCAAAATGAAGCTGTTCACACAATCCCCAACATCAAGATACCTTAGCTGCATCATTACACAGAGTGTAACTCTGAGTGCTATCAATAGTTGAGTTGAGACAACACCCATGCTTTACAGGGCAAAGCTTGGCTTTTGTTTATATTTTTACATTGGAGACGGTGCTTATGAGATATGGAATTCCTCCAGGGAGAAAACCTAGGTGGCAAAAGACCAACATCCATCACATGTAGAAAGGCCCAGGCACACACTGCTTGAGACTGGGGGAGGTTACCTGCAGCAGGTGAGACTGGAAATATTCCCACAGCCTGTGATGTTACTGGTGGAGGCTGAGAAATTGCCAGACTCAGCCCTGGTGGTGTTTGTAGCCTGGTATCTAAGGCAATGAAGCTCATCTGATACTGTCATTGCCAGCTTCCTCTCCACACATTGCAATTTGGTTTCCTCAGAGTAGTATCAAAGGACCTGCAAGTTCCACCAAAATACATAGCTGCATAGAGAAATCCTGTCATCCTTACGGAAGAACAGCCTGCAGTGTTCAGTCCTTGTTGGCAGTCACAGAGCTGATACAAGAGAGATTCTGCATGTCCCCACCCTAGAAGAGCTTCCTTGGTGCCTGCACTTTATGAGAATAAGACACAAGCTAGTATGAAGCGAGGCCCTGCAGACCTGCTGCTCACACAGCTGTTTTTGGGGGCCTGTGGAACAGGCTGAAGGGAGATGCATCTGCTTCATATTGGGCACCCAACAGCCCCCAATGGGACATGGCTATTGGAAGCATGAAAAATGTTGGGTCAAGGATGGGCTAGAAATGGAAGTGTGATACGACTGTCCAAATCCACTTCTCTCCATCTCCCATGTTCTCCCAGGTATTCAGCCTACTATTACCCTGAGCTCCCGCCCCTTTTTAACCTTACAGTTCTTATATACAAAAGCATCAAGATTGATCACCTTGCCAATATCAATAGTGTCTAACTTCTACCTCCTCATGTGATACCAAAGCTATTTCTTCCCCTGCCATCAGAAGGGGGACAGGGGAACTATTCTCTCTTTTGAAAACGTAGCTAGATACCTGCAAAACTGCACTCCAGCTAAAGTTCAAACCTTACACCACCAGATCTGCATGAGGCCAGGACAGAACAGCAAGGGATGCAGCATGTGTGACAGCAAAACTGTGCTATGCCAAGATTAGCACAGCCACGACTATAGCAGAGGAGAAAGGAGCCTTTGTAAGGCTCCCTAAAGTAGGACGAGGAGAGAAAGAAATGCTGGGGATTTGGGATTGAGGTGTTCTGATAGAGCAGTGTCTGCTGCTTTGGCAGCAGAGCTCCTTGCTGATCCAAGAAAAATGCTGTTCTTCTCAGGTGATAGGGGAAAACATGTTCCTGGGTCCCCCATTTAATACAAACATGCCAAACATGTGCAGACCAGCCATGTGTATTTAAAAAAAAAAAACAAAAACAAACAAAAAAAAAAACCAACCACCAAACCACAACCCAACCCATCCTGGTGAAACAGGAATAATTGCAAAAAGATCAGAAACTCCTTGGCCAAGACAGGTATCTTGTTAATGAGGCCTAGACATGGTATTTCCAACCTCGTTTTCCCCTTCCTGTTCCAATACAGCTCAACATTTAATGATTTCTTATATAAACCACTCATTACTGTCCCACTAGGTGCTGCTGGGGAGTGTGGGGGATGACATACTTAGCCTTTGCATCAAAGCCATTATGCTGACAGTGCAGTTTTGACTGTCAGCCAGAGATGTTTGGTTTTCCTGGCGAATCTTTTTTTAAACACACTTTAAACAACCTCCTTTCGTTTTTCTCAAGACATTTCAGACATTAGCACACCCCTTTGTTTTCTACCATCCCTCATGCTGCTTACATTGCTGCAGAATTCACCAAGGCCTGCAAAATCATACCATGAGGATTTTTTTCTGGTTGTAATTAACACTCAGAATAAATTATTCCAGCTTTACGTCACATTTTACACACGATTTGTTCCGGATGATAACCTTAAGTATTGGGCAGTCACTGCTGTGAAGAATACCTTGCAGGTGCAAGGGGGCTATAAATCCCCCTGGTTTTGCTGTACAGGGGGATAAACAGCTTAAGTATTGGCTCTCTCAAAGGTGCAAACCTTGATCACTGTTGCCCCGTCAGGACTGAAGCTTACGAAAGTTATAAATGAAATTACAGTAAATGCAATTGTGGATTGTTTCAAGTGACACAACGGCTGCAGCACGGAAGCCACTTCCCGGGGCGGCCCAGAGAGACCCCGGCAGCGCGGGGACAGGCAGGGGTAGGCACACAGAACAGTCCTGCGCAGGGCGCCCGGCCACAGAGAGTCTTCCCACGTTTATATTGACCAAAACCACCCCCCTCACAGAGACCACCAGAAACCGCTGCGGACGACGTCCG